TCCTTCATTGTCATGATCTTATTTATCCCTTATAGCTCAACATGGTTATAAAATATTTCCTGATCCCTCAAGGCAGAATTAAATGCCTCACTTAATGATCTCACAGCACCTTGCATATAATTTTAGTATGGCACTTATTGTATTAGAGTTTTTAATATGTCTGTTTGTAGTACCAGACAGGGAGCTCAATGAGGGCAAAGACTCCATATCATTGATCTAATAAGTATTATTGAGACTTGTCGCCCCCCCCCCCCCCCCCACCTCAATGGAACAGAAAGGGCAAGGGGGCAGGAGAACCTTCAGGTCAAATCAGAGCAACTGTCTCCACTTCCTTCTTTGTACAACAGAGATAACAGTTTCTACCTCACCGGGGTGGCATGTATTTAACGAGAACCTAGCACAGAGCTAACAGAGTGGTTATCATCCTAATGAGCTAAGTGGAAAGCAGGTTGGTGAGCAAATGAGTGCCTCAATTCTGTTGAAGGGAGACTTGCGTTCGAATCCTGACCCTGACCTCTGCTCATCTGATCGTACAATGGAATAAATGAGATAACCTATGCAGAGCCCACTGTGTAATGCTGCCATTATTTGTTTCTTTTCTCCACACTCTTAACAAGTCTCAACAACAGCACCTGCCTGTAGGCATGGCCTGCTCTGAGAGCTCAGCCAAAATAAGCCAGTTTGCAGAAAAATACTTTAAAACATGCATGGGCTTTGACACCAGAGTGACCTTGGTTCTGATCCTAGCTCTGTCTTACAGCTATGCTGGATGTCTGAGAATAAATCACATCACTTCTCAAGGGCTTGGAATTCTCCACCAAAAACAGGGTAAAAATATAATTAATGATTCTATCAAGGCTGGGAGCGGTGGTTCATGCCTGTAATCCCAGTAACTTTGGGAGGCCAAAGCAAGAGGATTGCCTGAGTCCACCAGTGCAAGCTGGCAAGGACTTCCCATGGGCTAAAGCCTGGCGTATTTTAGCCCTTTGATGGCTCTGCTGCAGCCACTGCCACTGGCCCTGGCTCCTGAGATGACCAGCCTGGGCAACATGGCAAGAGCCTACAGTCCCAGGCTACTTGAAAGGCTGAGGCAAGAAGGATCGCCTGAACCCAGCAGGTGAGGCTGTGGTGGCTGTGAGTGAGCCACTGCACTCCAGCCTGGGGGACAGAGTGAGACTCCGACTCAAAAAAAGAAAAAAAAAAGATTCTGTTAAGATGTTGTGAAGAGTAAATGCGATCACACAAATGAAAACTAGCAGTAGCCGGGCTCGGTGGCTCAGCCTGTAATCCTGCGCCTTTGGGAGGCTGAGGTGAGTAGATGGACTGAGCCCGCGAGTTCGAGACCCGCCTGGGCAGCGAGACCTCATCTCTACAATAAATCAAAAAATCAGCCGGGCGTGGTAGCGCATGCCTGTAGTTCCGGCTACTTGGAAGACTGAGGGGGAAGGATCGCCGGAGCCCAGCAGGTTGAGGCCGGGAGCAGCCGCTGCACTCCAGTCTGGGTGACAGAGTGAGACTCCAACTCAAAAAAAAAAAAAACTAGTAGTACTATAAATGAATGGCACAATGAAATAATAATAGTAAGACAA